CCCCAAAACCCCAAAACCCCAAAACCCCAAAACCCCTATATTCAAAAATAATATTGATGAATGATAGGCTAAAGAAAAAGTCATGGCTTATGGCCTGTATCTTTAGAACTCTTTAAACTCAGAATTTCTACAGAGACCACATCCAAGTGCAAACTCTTCCCCATTATCTGGATGTGGCACTTTGAGACCACATGTATCCACTCCTGGGCAAGGAGCAATTTTGTTATTTCCGGCTACTCTATGGCAAGGGTCACAGAAATGTGTTGTTCCGAAGCAGAACCACTGTGAAAGACTTCAGCAATATCTACACTTGAATTCAATATAATCAGTTCCATGACTGGGTCAGTCGACCTTTCCGTCAAGATGCTTAGAGGAGCATTTACCACAAACTAGTTCTTCTTCCTTGAAATTTGCTTCAGCTTCTAATAAGTTTCCTCAATCTTTAAGACCTCCGAAGTATGGAACTTTGCACTGGTAACATGTGTAATAAGATAGCCTTGCAATTGCATATGCTTCCAGGTTGTTGTAATATGCATCACCAGGCTTTTTCAATCGCTCATCCTTATCTAATCCTTCATGCTTTGCTCTTTCAAGAGCCTTACTCCTTATTTCCTCTTCCATTTTGCTTGCTTCTTCAAGTAACTCATTAAGCTCTGGGTGGTGAGGAGCTTCTATCTCTTGCTTACAGCTTGGTCATGTCTTGAACAAGAACGTAATCCTTGGTCCTGACCACTTTTGTCTTACTTTTTCAGCAATACAGTCAACATGGAATATATGTCTACATCCTAATTGGATACTTGGCTGCTCTCCAAGTCCAGATACAAAGCAAATAGAGCAGAAAGAATCATCATCTTCTCCCATAGTAACATCTGGGTCTTTCTCTACTCACTCAGGATTGAGGCACGGAAGGCATTTCTTCTCTCGAATAAATCCTTTACAAGGATGGCCGCATTCTAAAATTTTGTCACAAGATTGCTTAATCATATTCTTGCAGTCTTTGCTATTACAGACATCTCTGAATGCTCCGCCTCCTGGTCCTGCTTCAATGGCTTTGCCACAGAACCTGCACTTAATAGCTTCTGAGAACTCTTTGTGTTCTTCACAAGTCTTGCCAATATGGTAAGGCTGCAAATTACAGTTCGTACAGAAGTTTTGCTTGCATGCATTACATCTGACTCTGTATTTGCTCATATGCTGGGCTGCTCTTTTTGAGATCTTTCTTCCTTTGTCGTCTTTGACATTGTAGTCTATTTTTCCTTCTTCCACTGAAATTGCATTCCCACAAGGGCACATAACCAAGGATTTGTCACCTTCTACAACAGCTCTGAGGGAGTCATGCTGAATTTTCTCAAAGGGTTCTTCACCAATTATTCCTTTGATCTCGTACTCAGGGATCTGCAAGCTTCATTGAGGACATTCAGCCATCTGTTTCTTGATGTAATCACTCTTGACGATATCTTCAAAACAGCTCTTGCAAAGAATGTGTGAGCATGATTCTAGGAAGATTATTTGGCTCATATCAAAGTCATTGAACTTCTTGCAACATTTAGTACAACTCATAAACAGCCCATCATCTTCCTGTCCAACATTAGAGTGATCTATTGGAGCAGCACCTTGCTCATCTATTGTTGAAGGTTTCGAGTTCTAAATAGAATTTTATTAGATATCTTAAATTGTCCAGAAACACAAAAGGATATTTTTGGCAAAATTCTAATCTCCTTAGTTCAAAATTTTCCGATAGTCAAGGACCTTTTTACTCCTAAAACTCTAAAATTTTCCTGAATGTCCCCATCCTAACTCTATCCCAACTCTTCAACGGCAAAAATAGCCTCAACTGCATCCCTAATCCTTCGATTCCTTTCCAAATTTCTAAAAATTCTAATTCAGCCCTCTACCTAATCTTTCACCCTTTCTCAACCAGCTTGGCCCTAGAGCATACCTCAGCTATGACTTTCTGCAACTTATTCCTAAAGAAAGTAGTAACTGCCTGAATATTGTTAATGGTTCCTTTAGAGGGGGAATCTTCGATGAGAACATTTAGAGCTTGGAACAGGTCCCCGTATTGGTCCTGCATTTCAGAACAGTCATTGAGATGTAGACTGATGAACTCCTGGTCGATTTCATCCCCACAGCTGCACACAAAGTCTCCCTTGTAGCTCTTCAACTTGTTCATCACGGGAGCAGCATACGGATCTATTTTCTCCATTAAAAGTTATTTATTTGCAGTTTTCTCAGTCGATTTTGGTAAATAAGGGGTTTTGGGGTTTTGGGGTTTTGGGGTTTTGGGG